CGGGTCTCGAACCCGCGGGCTCAGGCAATTCACTCACCTCAGCCTCCCAAGGCGCGGGATGACAGGCTGAGCCACCAAGCCCGCCAAAGTAGATCTTCTAAGTCAGGCTGAAAGATGAAGTGATACAGAAATTTCTAAGCGATAGGAAGGTAGAGAACAAAGACAAGTGGCAATGCATCTGGCAGCTGCTGGAGCTCAAATGACTGCCACAGGCTGCGGAAACCTCAGGCTAGCTGACTAGGGCCAGTCTGTTCAACAGCGTAGACCTTCACTAATCTACGCTCTATCAGATTTCTCTACACTCTGCTCTCACCCCTCCCACCCAGAGGGAAGTTAAGGGGAAAGAAACCAAAGCAGTTATGTGTCAGAGTGTCCTTCCTTTCCATCATCAAGATAAAAAAAGTCAAAGAAATCAGGTTTCTGGGAAAGTGCTAACTTGTACTTGGATACCAAAATGCCCCTAGCATTTTGATGGACCATTAAATCATATAGATCATCAATCATTTTACATCACAGTCAGCAGCAACCAAGATTTAGACTTGACCTATTTCTCCCCATCTATTCTCAGTATTACACAGATTATTTACAATCAATTTTGGCCCTATGAACTAAGTGAAAAGTATGTATGTTAAACACACACGCTAGGTACCTTACCAGAAGTGTTTACGTACATTTTTATCATCAGTTACTCTTCACAGTAATAGCATCTGGGAACTAAAAGGAGCTAAAGAGAAAACTGAGGCCCACACAAGTTAATGATTTGCCTAAGGTCTCAGCAGTCCTGTGCTGAGGCTTTTGGAGGAACACAGAATAACTCCAAAGATCAGAGGTGAAACTCTGAAGGGACTGGTGGCTAACTGTAGAACTTTCAGGGAGCCAAATAGAGGAATCCAAAAGAAGCAAGCTTTAGGGAACTGTGAAGGTAACCATTCTAAATGTTTAAGTCCGTTTTAAAAATAAGGCTGGGTGTGGTGGCTCATGCCTATAATCCCAGCACTTTGGGGACTACCTGAGCCCACAGGTTCGAGACCATCCTGGGTAACTTGGCAAAACCTCATCTCTACAATAAATTTAAAAATTAGCCAGGTGTGGTGGCATGTGCCTGTTAGGTCTAGCTACTTGGAAGGCTGAGGCGGAAGGATCACCTGAGTAGAGGCTGCGGTGGCCGTGAGCGTGCCACTGCACTCCAGCCTGGGTGAAAGAGTGAGATTCCAACTCAAAATAAAGAAATAAATAAGTAAACTGATGACTGTATAATCTCACATTGAGAATGATAATGTTACTATTACTAATATGGCACCTTTACCAGTCAAGTTGGAGAATATTTTAATGTATGTAAGGCAGTACTCAAAGATCTTCACAAAGATTTGTAAACAAATGATGTTCACTGTAGCCTAACTTATAACAGTGATCATTTTCTTACAATCTTAATGTCCAACAATATTCTAAATTACATAACATGGAATACGGTGGAGTCACCCACTTCAGACTTTTAAGAACAGAAGGAAATACTAAAATGTTTCTACACAGCATGTAAACTGATAAAAATATCCCATTATTTAAAAAGTACATATAGAAAAAAAGAGGCAATAGTTACACCAGAGTGCTTAATGGCGATAGGGATCTTGGGGTGACTTCAGTGTAACTCTTATCCTGTTCCACATTTCTAAAATACATGTATATTTTCCCTTACAACTAAAAAACATACAAGAACTTATTTTAAAATAATTTAGTATTCCCTTTGAATAGATTTTCCAGCCTAGGCAACAGAGACATCTTCTCTACCAAAAATAAAAAACTAGCTGGGTGTGGTGGCACATGCCTATAGTCCCAGCTACTCAGGAGGCTGAAGCAGAAGGATCACCTGAGCCCAGGAGTTGAGGCTGAGGTGTTCCAGGATTGTGGGCAACAGAGTGAGACCCTGACTCAAAAAAAAGAAAAAAAAGATTTTATTGTTTTATCTAGGAATGTGAAGGAAGACGATCAAAATTTTTTCATGAAATTAACTCAGAAATTTATTTTTTATGATAGGGATAAACTGGAAACAACTTAAATATTCAATAATAGGAGATAGTTAAATCACCACACGTCCATAAAAAGGCGTATTTTGCAGCCACAGATAATCATTTGTAAAAACTTTAATGACCTTAGGAAACCACTGCTAGGGCACTGGACATCAGCCAAGATGGTGGTTTCATCACATACTCATAATAGCAGAGGTTTCATAGATTTTCCTTAAAGTCTTTTGTATAATAATTTCATTGATAAAACAAGTTTGATCTTTCCTAGGTGAAAACAAAGCTGGTGAAATCAACTCTGCTACGAAGTCATTTTCCAGCCATTGAGATTAAAGATACTCCTAGTGAAGATGACTGGCAGAGCCTCCTAACAAATCAGATAAAGGAGACCAAAAGGTTCCTAAGCCTAGAAAATGACAACCCACCTAAAAAAAGAAAAACAGAAGAGATGTCAGGAAAAAAAACCAATTAAAACAATGTTGCTCAATGCTTTCTGTGGCAAAATGATACAGCTGAAATACTGGTATAATTTTTACTAGAACAAAATGGACGGTGGATGAAATGGACATCCAAAGCTTTGCACAGCTTCTTCACTTTTCCAACTTCTTCTGATGTGATAAAACTGTATTATGTACTTGCTCTGCAAGTGCGTCATGTAAGACATATTTGCAATCTACAGTGATTACCCAATTACCTTTCATTAACTTTTAAATGCCTGCCTTCCCTTTCTTTCAAGGGCTGTTGCTCCTTCAGAGCCCTTTCTTACAGAACAGAACTTAGGTGTTACACAAGATAGACACTGTGACCTGCCTTAATCAGTTCCTTCAAAGTCTTGGGAGCTTGTGATTTAGAGAAAACTGAGGCAATAACTGTCCAGACCAGTCGATTTTTTTTTAAGTTCGTAATGATTTACTATGATTTAGGGTCTTTTTTTCCCCCAAAAGGACAAATTTATATGCATAGAAATTCAGGTATCAGAAAGACTCAAAAGGCTGTTTTTCACTTTGTTCAGGTTTTGCTTCCAGGCATTAAGTGTGTCATACAGTTGTTGCCATTGCTGTTTTCCAAATGTCCGGTGTGTACTGTGACTAAAAATTGAAAAATTAAAAATAAAGTGTTAGTCAGCTTTTTCTTCTCTGGTATTTCTTTATAATACTATACACTTGACTCTAGTTAAAAGCAAGATTAAATATAAGTAAAAGATATAACTGAGAATGGCAAGAGAATTTAAGAACTAGATGCGTGTTTTAAAGAAATCATTACCAAACTGATCCTAAACCTTCTATTCTCTGAACAACTATATAATAGAGCAGACACAAGTCATTAGTATTCTAGCCAATGCTCAGCCATTAAATGAAATGTGCTGGAAAATAGGACTCTTTCATTAAATAAGCTAATCACATTCAGTCTGAACTTTAATAAAATTATGATAAATAGCAACTATTTAACTTACAGTCAACTGCTAAGAACACCATCTTGGTTCTCTAAATATTTACGTGAAATAACAGGAACAAACTAAAATGTTCTATAAAATGCTGCAAAGTATTAACTGTCTTACCTGACTACGACTTTTCTCTGGGTCTGATCAATTTTGCAGTAGACCATTTTAGTTCTTACCGCTGAAAAAGATGTGTAACATGCTATGTTATATGGCAAATTTCCTCAAAAACCCCTATGAAACTGTGACTAAGTAAGCCATAACAGAACTATATACTCTTCTCCATCATTTACAAACCAAACTGGCTACTGGAATCTAATAAGCAAAGCAGGATGACACTGCCAAGAAGAGGGTTGTGCATCTGCCCTATGGCAGCTGGGTCAATCAATATAAAATTTACATCATATACTGTTGTTATTAAGAATTCTAGGTGTTCTTCCCATACCACCCCATATGGAGGGAAAAACTAATTTCCTATAAGTCAATCTTTATAGAACTCTTGGAAACTTAGATCATCAGGGAAGAAAAACATGTCAATAGTTCTACAAATTTTATTAACTGTATAATCCCAATTTTTAAATTTAAAAAAGCTCAGAAAACTTCCTGATTAGCAGTGACATCACTTTATAATGCAGTTGTTGGGGAGGGTCCTGTTTCTGGGCTAATCGTAAAACACAGTTAACACTTGCAGATCATTTTACTATGTGCTGGGCACATGCTTTACCTACATTCATTCATTCATTCAATCCTCAACCAAATGAACTCGGATATTCCTATCTCACGGCACAAGGCCTGGTCTCAAACCCAGGTCTAACAATAAAATCTGTGCCCTTAACCATTATGGTGTATGGCCTAAAGGCTTTTGTTCTACATGATTTCAAGGGATAGCACAAACACCAAAGTCACAGAGCAATTTGTATTTCCACTGAATCTTTACTACAAGTATATTTACTAATCTGCTAAACAGACATACACACTTGGTATAAATGCATCTAACTTTGTTAGCTTAAGGCTCAGTTTCAAAATAAAATCTTACTATGTTCCAGGTAGCAGGAGACAAATTCTAGAAATAAATGAAAATGCTCTATCTGCCTTACCGTCAATAACAAATGCTTCAACATCATCGGCTCCAATCTGAAGTTCTTGCTGCATTGTATCAAAAGAAATTTCTTTATTTTCCACGGCCATTCCCATAAAAGTAAGTAGTCTCATTTTTGCCATATTCTGTTCATGTAATAGGCCTAAGTAACATAATATGAAGCCTGATGAGTGTCCACATGAATTCAAGACCTGTATGTTTATATCTCAAATTGTGTTAACTGAGCACTTAGAGAATTATTATTATTGTTACTTTTGAGTTGGAGTCTCACTCTGTTTCCCAGGCTGGAGTGCAGTGATACACTCACAGCCAAGTCAGTGTCAACCTGCTGGGCTCCTGTGATCCTTCCGCCTCAGCCTTCCAAGTAGTCAGAAATAGGCACACACTACCACACCCAGCTAATTTTTTATTTATTGTAGAAATGAGGTCTTGCCAAGTTGCCTGGGCTGGTCTCGAACCTGCAGGCTCAGGCAACCCACTCGCCTCGGCCTCCCAAAGTGCTGGGATTACAGGCTGAGCCACTGAGCCCCACCTACAGAATAATTTTTACAAAGCTTCTTATGTTTGCAAACCATAAACTGGCCCTATAATTAAGTTATGGAGTTTTTAAAGTTGTTTCAAACTATTTTTATTAATATAGTGTCATAGATGATGGGTTCAAAGTAAAGAATGGGGTATAAAAATTAGTATTTTTAGGCCCCAGAAGTTTTTTACATTTTATATTTTTTCATAGTTACACATTTTAGAAGATAAAATCTACAAAGTATTTAGTTGAAATACCTAACCTTATTTTCACTAATAGTTTTTTATTTAAACACATGGCTCTCATTATCTACTTACTGTTTTTTTCTGTGTCACTACTGCTAATAAATATAAAGTTTTAATATTTTTATGAACATTTTCAGTTATTAAAACATTCCATTTTGCTTCAGGTCACTTTAATATTTACAAATCAAAACTGTCAAATGTGTTTTATCATTTAACACCCATAGGCCAATATGGTTAGAACCAGAGAAACAGTACCATAACAGTGATACTTGTTCTTTATATGCCAAAAGTAGAAAAGTATACAAATAATTCAAATTTTGTATTATAATTTGTAATGAAACATGCACAACGTGTTAGGACTAGAAGGAAACTTAATTATCTATTTCTGATCCTTTTACTTAAAAAAACAAAACTGAGAAGCACGCTGACCTATAGTCAAAAAGTTGCAGTGCTACAGGTGCTAGGCCAAGAATGTAATAGGTTCACTTATAAAATAAAAGACCAGAAATGAAAAAAAGATTACAAATTATAAACATGATATGAACCTAGTTCTAAAGCAGAAGCAGCATTATAATACAGTAACTCACTAATTTTGAAAAAGTCTCTAAAACTAACCTAGATTTACATGTTCCTTTTCTCTGAACTTTCAAATTATGTAAACTCAGCAAACGATCAATCAAGTGTCCTCTAATAATTCAGAGCTTCAAGTTTGAATTGTTAAAAACAAGTTCTCTCTCTAAGCACTCCACAAATAAATTTGAAATTTATAACATTCATATATTAGTGGAAGACTAGGGAAACCCACTGATATAGGGCATGCTCATCTGTTAATTAGCTGTAATTACGATACAGGCTTCCTATTTGGCACAGATTCAACAAAAACATGATCATCATAACTCAAGTGAATGAGGTACACAGGTAAAGTATTGCTAACTGGGTGTAATGGAAATCTTCAAGCATCAAAAAATCAATTAGTGCACATTAACCCTAATTAACAAATGCAAATTAGATGCTGATTAACTTTCTGAAGCAAGAAGGTAGCGACTGGACAACACCAGATTACATGTGGACATGTTAGGGCAATTCGGTTGACACAAGATAATGCTATTGTTGGCCCAAGTTGTCAGTGTTAATAAAAGAAAATATTCTGACAAACTGATTGCCACCTGTGGAATCCAGACATTTGTAACCAGACTTTAAGCTGTTATGACTGACTGACTATACATCCAAAACAAAAACTAAACACATTTAATAAGATGTTTTCTCACAAGTATCTTTCTAATAGAGGATTGTTCATTTGCATAGATGGTCAAGAAACAAAAGGCAAATCGGGATTTGATTTCTAGTTGGCACAAATTATTGATGTTATGAATTTTTTCCTATCAGAGAACAAGTGCTAAAGATTTTTTTCCCAAAAATTCCTTAACACTCCCAGTTCTATGGGCATAGAACTTTCTCTTTCAATATGATAATATAGTAGAAAAAAATACTCTTGAAATTAAATAAGTTTTACTGCTACTCTTTATGCAGTTATAAGCTTACCATAAATGAAAAAACTTATCAGAGGATTGAAGATTATTTCTAGAATGAATTATATAAAACCATTACCTATCTTACATGCGGAAACTTGTATCTAAAAACACCTCAAAATGATGTTTCAAGTCACTTTAAAATAGAGAAACAAACACAAAGCCTTTAGGACTCTTGTTCTGAAAAATCAAACTATTAAGCCGTGACGTATGCTTTAAGGACTTGTAGGAAGCTGTGCTTTGTTTCATAAAACTAGAATACTGCCTTCAAAGAGAAATCATGGTGTGCAGTGTCGTATTTCAATTTTAACGTTATAAAAAATCTAATTTTATGGAAACATTTATTCATTACTAATATGTCAAAACCTTAATGCAGTAATAAAAAAATGTGCATCATTGAGCAATTTCTGCATTGTCACTGACCCCTGTCTTAAAATGCTGCAATATAGAAAACGCAATTTTAATGCATGCAATAGCTTATGAACCAGTGCTCCTTTGAAACAGTCAATTACACATCAATGGGGGAGTGTCAAAGTGTTAATTACAACTCCTTTTTCCCTGGTGCGTAAATAAAGAGGTTGCTGACATTAACATTCCATCACAGAGCTTCATGCCACAAAACAAATTAACTGGGACAGAATGTGGTTTTCTGGGTCTAGTGCACCTGGCAAAGCATTCTACACAAACACACTTGCACCGACTCTATCCTGGTGTATTTCAAATGCCTTACTATGTTCAGAATAGGTCAGTCTTCCCCAATTCCCATGGCTGCACAAAATTTACAGGTGACAAGAATGAATGATTACCAAATCAAGGACTAAGTGTAATCAAAGTAGATTATAACTATACTCTCCATCTGCATCCCAAACAGCCAGGAAGACTAACAATTCAACTGTAATATGGACAATATCATCACCCTCTAATGTATTTTGATTATTGCCCAGTAAGAAAACAAAGCACCTTAGTTTTCATAGTTGACCTCAGTGTCAAAAAACTGGTAGTTTTAGAACATTTAACACTTGTTCAACTACAGATTTTCCAAGTTTTCCCTTTGTATTTTAGTATATTAAAAACATGCTCCTAAAGGAAATTAAAATATCGAACATTTATGGGGTCTGATTATTGAATAGGCTTCAATTCAATTTGGCATTTTATTGAACTCTGATGTGCTAGGCATGAAAATGCAAAGATAAAAATAAACATTTTCTATGCTGTCTTCAACAAACTGTAGTTATTAGGAAATTAAGTCTCTACTATCATGTAAAATTACCAAATTTCCATTCCTAATTCCATCTTTTAGATATAATTAGCAGTGTGATATACTTCTTTAATTTGTTAATTTGGAGAGGGGGGAATCCAAGCATAAAACACCATTGTAGAGGGGGAAAAAACTATTTGTTACAATTTTTTGACTATGACTTTAAAAGTAAGGTCTTCTACAAAGAAACAATTTTATTTTAAACAATCATATTTAGCTTAATAAAGTGCCTTAATCCATTAAATTTTATCAGTTCTTAAAACAAGTACTTCCAAAAGTTACCATTATGATCAAAACAACAGTGATTTTCTCAGTTGCTTCTCTGCTCCCTCCTTCACTCTCAAATTCAGACACAGGTCTGTCAATGGAATTATTTCCATCTGAATCTCCTCCAGGCCCCAGATTCTTGCTGTAAGTGTACCTCAATGAATCACAGTACAGGTGGGTTGGAAGGGCCTCAAGTCCCACAAGCTCTTAACGGAGAACACATCCTGGCTGTGCGCTCGTTCTGTTCCCACACATGACCTCCTACACTTTCTCGGCTTCTGATGCCCAGTTCATTCCACGCAGCCTTTTAAACTGTCCACCTATCTCCATGTTGATTCCATCACACACCACTCCTTTTAGAGCAACTACAAAGAAGGCCACAACTATTCGCTGGATCTCACAGTGCCAAACTGTTAAAGAGTAGCATGTTCCCATCTCTCAAGAATAAACCCCAAACTTACCAAGTGAGTCAATGAAGTCTTTATTATTCTGATAAAACTTGACATATGATGCCAATTTAGCACTCACAAAAATGGTTAAAAGCTACGCAGGTAAGAGATAAAAAAAGAGACTATCAATACAGAGTCAAGACTTATATTAAGATATTTTAAACGCGTGTTAATCCTAACAACAAAACTACATTTCTTTCAATGCAGAAATATCATTCTGTTCCATCAAATCACCCCTCAAGCCATCTGCTGTCATAGGGCTCGTTTTTAGCCCTCTGCACGGGAGACACCGTGTGGATCACCTACCAGCAACTCGACTGAACTTTTTTATGAAATAGTGGAAAATCAATCACCCCATTCCATGTTGGAACCAATTTTATTGTAATGATATTTGGCTTACAATGGAGTTTCGGACACCAGGAGCTTATCTGTGACAAATATCAAAGTCTTATATTTTTCTGAATGAGTGGTAATGTAACGGCCAGGCAGGTGAATGGGGAGGAAAGGGAGGATGGGACAGCGCTCGGGCCAGAAGGCCTGGTTCTCAGTACTGGTCTATTCCTGATACAGAAAGAATAAACGGTTCCCATCTTTCAGGATCTTGCCATCAGTCATTTTAAGAATGCAAAGGGCAAGAGTACTGCTTCAGCATGCGAGACTCAGGAAGACAACTCTCCCCACCCCAGAGCACAACCAACTCACATCATGAATAAGCTCGCCTTCCAGAAACTTGACCGGCTTGAGGGTGAGCAGGTGGTCAAAGAGGAAAGCATTTGGGTCTTTCAAGGCTCGGACAATGCACCTGCATCCAAAAACACACATGCAGTTTGGAAATACTGGTCATTCACAGACTTTTTGCAGAACACAAAAGATATTTAATTCAGGAAAGTATCCAAGAGTCTGCCATACACAGTATAAAAAAGGCTACAGGTTGGGGTTAAAAACAGGCCAATACATCTATCAGGTTTATCTGTTTTAACAAAATTAAATCAAACAGTCAAGACTCAGCTGGACAGGAAACACCACAGGATTCCAAGTCCAGTGAGCAGCACGGGACCTCCCCAGACCCCAAGGGCTTCCCTTGCATTTACCCTGATTCTTCCTCACAATCTGGGAGGTCCATGGTGTCAGCAGGCTCAGGGAGAACAAGGGACATGCCAGAGAGAAGCACTAATGAAGCGGTGGGCAAGAACTAGAATGGAGGCCACCTGACCCCACGTACATGTCCATGGGATGCTATAACCCATGAGGAAGTTTCAGGATTCTTATCTCATGGATTTTAAAACATTATCTTTTTGTTAGTAGTTTGTTCTAGGGCTGTTTAAAGACCTTATTCTCACTGGCAAGAAATTTCTGGCAAGCTACCAACCTTCCACCAACACACTTTCACATAAAGATAAATGGACTGCAGATTAGGTTCTAGTTCTTGGAGTGGCATTATCACCCCACAGCAGCCATGCCCCACACGGAAATGCCATGCTGCTACTCTACATGCCACCGATAGTTCTTCCAATCCTGAGCCTTGAATTTTAGCATCTACCTTAGAATCACCAGGAAGCACAGAGGGTCAAATGGCTCTAGATCACTAGTGATACATTGCAAGCATGATTTCAGTTCCACAACTAAACCCCACAGCAGACTTCTGCGCTGCTGACAAGTCCGCCTTAGAGCGATGTTTAGTTACCTGTGGGCATCAACACGAGCCTGGGAAGCATTGTCCTCTGTGTAGCTTCCAAGCAACTCCACCATCACTTTTGAAGCAGCATCACTGAAAAGAAACATTGCTTTAGGAATCTGGATATACTGTTACTGCCATTCATTCATTTGAGATAGTTCTTAAGTGCCAAATGCTATACTGATGGCATGTATAGTGGTTACTAAGAGAGACCTGATCCCTGTCTTTGGGAAAAGTCATGGAAGTTTCCTCTTAGTAGGGAAGACAGACAAGTAAGAAAACCTAACTCACGAGTAAGTGCTAGGAAGAAAACACAAAGTGAGGTGGTCAAGTAAAGAGGGAGGAAGACGGAAGAAAAGGCCACCTTCTCTAGAGAGAAAGAAAAGTCTCTCCAAAGAGATGACCTGTGAGCTGTGACGGTGAAAAGAGCAGGAGCAAAAGAGTGAAGACCAAAGCCCCAGGTGGGGAAAAAGTTCTGTGTCCCACAGACTGTTAGGACACAATGGCTGACGTTGCACCAACACCAATAGTTCTACTTAAGATACCTTCGAGGACATTATCCTTAGAATCACCATAGTGAAGAATCAAATAATTAAATGCGTCACCCAACTCAGACTCTCAGAGAATGGTTTCCTTTAAACTAGTGAGTCTTCAGCTCGCAAAGTTTTGTTAACGGCCAGGCGCAGTGGCTCAAGCCTGTGATCCCAAGGGTTTGAGAATAGCCTGGGCAACTTGGCGAGAATTCATCTCTACAATAAATCAAAAAATGAGTCGGGTGTGGTAGCACACGCCTGTTGTTCCAGCTACTTGGAAGGCTGAGGCGGAAGGATCGTTGGAGCCCTCAGCAGTTCGACGCTGAGGTGACTAAGTGTGCCACTGCACTACGGCCTGGGTGACAGAGTGAGACTCTGACAAAAGAAAAAGCTTTGCTAACGAGGAGACATGAAGTTCTTTTTTCGTTTTCATTTTCTAAAAGCATGTATTCCCCACACTTGGATTCATCATGAGTAAAATCAGTAAGAATATAATTTATTTTAAAAAGTTACACAGTATTCTAAAATGTTCAAAAATGAAGGTTTACTAAGATACAGAAATAAAATCATAGGTATGGCTAAATGGCCACCGGCATCTTAAACGTAGTGCCATAAATGCTGGGTACAGTGGCACATGCTGGGAGGCCCAGCTACTCAGGAAGTTGCTTGAGCCCAGGAGTTCAGGGTTGTAATGTGCTGTGCTCATATCTGTGACTAGTCACTGCACTCCAGCCTGGGCAACATGGTGAAACCCTACTCTAAAAAAATTTAAAATGTAGTGACATAACTATAAAAATTCAAAAGAAAAGCTTTAAGAGGAACTATGCTTCGTTCATTATTAATTATCCTGTGCCATACTGTAAGCACAGGCACCTGTCATTTTCTAGTGTTAGCAGCTACAGTGTGCTTCAATATATATCTTAAATTCCAAAATTCAAAGCTTTAGAATACCACTTAACTTTATAAAACAAATGGCACAGTTCCTACTGATTTTACCCAGGCTGAATCCAGACATGGAGGATAACCACTTTTAGAAAATGGAAAAAAAACCCTCCTTGTTTCTCCTAGTTAGCAAAGCTCTCAGTTAAAGAAATGTTTTTAACTTATTTCAAGTGCAGAGCACAGAATGTGACGTGTAATAAGGGCCCAGTTACTAGTGTGACCTTCTAAAACACAGGACACTATACTCACCAACCACCAATACAAATAAAATCACAAAGGGGCCCCTTAAGTGTTACACATTCTTTCTTAACAGGGAAAGGCAAAGCTCAAATCCCACTACTTAGAAGTAGAATATGTATTTCCTGGGAATCAGTAGAGCACCCTTCAGCTCCCGACTGTGAGCAGCACTTATCCCTCAGGGCCACTGCGTGCCAGACACCTTTCTGGGAATGTGACGGCCAGCAGGAGTCTCTCGCCTCCCCTGAGCCAAGCCCCACTGTGAACACAGGTGTTAAACACCAGGATAAAGCACAGGGCACACTACTAGATACAAGAGGGTGACCCAGGCAGACGCAGAGGGTGAGCCCTTCAGACAGGGGCGGGCAGCCCTCCTGCGAGGGCCAGAGAGCACGTCTCAAGCTCTGCAGGCGACCTGGGACCTGCTGTCACTCAATCCAGGTCAATGCGGCCAGTCAGTCTCCATGCGAGCAGATGGGGGTGGGGATCAGTAACTGTTTCCAGACACCTAACTCTGAATTTCATATCATACCCACATGTCACAGAATCTCTCCTTTCATCTTTCTCACCATTTAATAACGTAAAATCCGTTCTTAGTGCATGAGCCACACAAAAACCAGTGCCAGTCCTCGGTCCAGTCTGGGAAAGTGTGCTATGTTGCTACAGCAGATACAGGTTCACTACATCTAGGTGTGATGAGCAGGAGGGAGGTGTGTGTGTGTGTGTGTGTTTCCAGAGAGAGAGAGAGAGACAGAGACAGAGACAGACAGACACACAGACCAACCCCGAAGGAGGGAATACTTGCACAGGCAGGGCCAGGTTGGCAGCAGGCACCACCAACCACCCAACACTGCGAGAGGACCTGTGCCATGTCACCACCCCCATGCCATGCAGGTCGGGCCAGAAGTAACCAGACATGGTCACCAAGTAAAAGACGAAGGCAGGAAAGGAATCAAGGATGTCACTAAGGTCCCCTCAGGCAATATCTGCCATTTACTGATGAAGAACAAAGACTTAATCAGAGAAGAAAATGATACACCTGCTTTGGTGACACTGAGTCTGAGGCACCTGTGGGCCGCAGACCAGTGGAAACGGGTAGACAGAGGCTGGGCACACAGACCTGAGCTCGGAAGAGGAGCCAGGGCTCCACGCAGGTGTCCACCTCGCAGGTGATGGAACCAGGAACAGATGGGTGCCACCCAGGGAAGAGCAGAGTAAGGAAGAGGAGCACCTCAGCCGGAATCGTGAGTTACACCAGCGTGAGAGGAGCAGAGGAAGACTGACATGCAGGGAGCCTGAGCAAGAACGGCCCAAGAGTGAGAAAAACGTCAAGAGCAGGACACTGTAGCCACACAGTGGGAGGGTGAGGAGACAAGAACAGCGCTGTCCACCGAGACAGCAGCTGCAGATGAGGGGACCACAGCTCGAATGTGGGAAACTCATTTTCCATCAGAAAACTGCTCTCATGGCTGCAATGGTGAGTACTTTAAGGGGAATGCCCGTGGGAAGGGCACCTTCTCTACTCCCAACTACCTCTTCACGCTGTCTCACACCTGTTTTGTAGCCATGTTTACATTTTAGGAAAAGTCATTCATGGACAGAGGCCACATCAGCACTGGATCCTGCTCTACAAGGAACCAAGCTGAGGCCCTGCCCTTGTGAAACTGACACGCTTGTGGGGACAGACACTAAACACTAAACACAGAGTACAGCTGTTACTAAAAGCAACGGGGAAATGATAAAATGGGCAGGGGACAACAAGGGGCTGGGAGTCCTGTTACCCACACAGGTGGCCAGAGAGGGCCCTTCTGGAGAGATAACCACCGGGCAGCCTCGCTGATACTGGAGACCCCAGGAGGAGGTGCCAGTCCCAAGACGCAGAGCTGGCTGTGCCTTCACCTCTGAAGGAAGCCACTGGAGGGTTCTGAGTTAAGGAGAGACATGACCTGATCCTCCACATTAAACAGTGAATTAAGAACAGACAGCAGGGAGACAAGGAGGGCAAAGGGTCTGGTAAGAGGCTACTTCAATAATCAAAACAAGCAAAGATGGAGGATGAGACCACGTGACAGCAAGAGGCCTGGCTAGACCTGAGTCTACTTAGAGCTGACAGTCATCACTGGTGGATGAGGTGTGGGATGTAAGGCAGACGTCAAGGTGTGGGATGTGAGGCGGATGTGAAGAGCAAGCAGGTTTAGAGGAAAACCAAGGCCCACATCTGCAGATGTCAAGTCCGAGATGCTTCTGGACATCACAATAGAGACAGACCTTAAACAGGAACAGAGCCTGGAGTCCAGAAGCAACACAGGTGGTAAGAATGTGAAATTAATCGACATGTGGATGGTATGAAAAGGCACGAGACTGAGACCAATGAAGGCACTGTGACCCCTGGACATGCATGGAGCTTACTGTAATGCAGGCCTTGTGATGGCAGCACTCTTGGCACTGTGGCAGGCCAGCGCAGGAGGCTCACGCCCTGCGGTGAATCCAACAACCCAGCAGACCTGTCCCATTCAAAAATGAACATGGCCCAGCCTCCTCCACCATCAGCAAAAAAGCCTCAACAGGGAACCAATGTCATCAAGCAAAAGAAGTCCCAGGGCAGAGTCCCTCCAACGTCCAGAGCTAGGGGAGAGGAGGAGGAACCTACAACATGCAGCTGTGAACAAGCTCGGAAAATAATCAGGAAAGATCCCGAGCCGGCTGGAGACAGTGTTTCAAGAAGAGTGATCAGCTGTGACAAGTGCTGCCAACATCAGGACATGCCTGGCAGCGGATAGGTGGGCATTCATGTCCTATCTCGATTTCTCCGAGAATTAGCATTGGAATTCTTCAGAACATCACTCGTTACTTCCTTTCCACACAAAACAGACTAAACAGCAATGAAGAGAAACCACCCAGTGAGCAGTCACCTCTGATAAGCACCCAACAACATTCACAGAGAAACCACAACTCTCATGACTTAAAATTACTATGCCAGATAACAGATCAACTTCTTAAAGGTGAGCTAAAAAAAAAAAAAAAAAAAAAAGAACTGGAGAGTGAAAAGAATAAAACATCCAACATCTACAGAGTATTTTCTCAATAATGAAGTTACTATTTTAAGGACTCTACATGTGTATTACCTTGTTTAATCTTTTTGACAACCCTGTGGGAAGGACTATAATTACTTCCATTTGGAAGCTGGACACTGAGGTCCAGATATGCTAAGTGATTTATTCAGGGACACACACCAAGTGGTAAACCCAAGATGTGAATTCCAGCAGTCTGACTCCACAGACTACTTATTTAAAGTTGGGTTAACACGGGGATTCCTTCTCCAATCGTTTTTATGTCCTCCACGTGCAATAGTCCTTGACTAAGCTACTTACCCTGAACCCTGTTCTGACAGCTGGCTGGATGCTGCCAAGCACATCAGAACGTTGGAGTGTATGCCGCATCAGAAGGAAACAGGCTAAAATACGGCCATGTAGGACGCCCTGCTATCTGCTCGTACAACAGAACACCTAACTTTCACAACCAAAGAATCAACATTTCCTTTTGTATTTTAATCCAGAAGGTCTACAAAAAAATTATTTTACTTAGCGTAACAGAAACACAGTAATCTTGATTATCCCAACACATTAAATATTCTTGCACTAAAATTTGTGCAAGTAAATAAACTGAAGACTGATGACTTTTTCTGAAGGTGTTGAGCCATTATGTGAAAAGAAAAACTAAAAAGCTGGGTCAAAAAGCCAGGATCATCCTTCATTAAACAAAACAACACTAATTCTATAAACTGAGCCAAACCTATTATCTGGTCGGAATTAAAGCCAGGTATACAGAAAAATATTCGGGGTCTAAAGGGTGGTGGGAAAAACATAAGACCATTAAGTCCAGTCCTCCTGCAGTGCAGTCTCTGCAGAGTGTTACCCTGGGGGCACTGCTGATGTGAGAGGCTCTGGCTGTGGTCATGTGTCACTGACAGACCCTTGCCACCATTAAACAGAGGCAACAGCAGCACCCAGCACAAGATACCAAAGCACCACGAAAGAATTCGGTGTAATGTATATATAGCTTTGGGATGAATAATTGTACCATATTTATAACAAAAGCAAGTTTCGCTTTTTAAAACGTTGAAAGATGAGGGAAAACAACTTTAATCTTTACAGCGATCTTCGACTCAGCAGGTGAAGTTTACGGAACCAGGTTTATAGTGACTCCATGGAGAATACAGTAAAGCCAAATCACCGGCCCTACTGGTCTTTAAACACCCCACCCACTCACTGCCTGTGAAGCCCTGAGTGAGTTCGTACCTTTTCTTGCAATCCACAAGTGCCTCGTAAAGCAAGCGTAAAAGGGTATGCTTCTTTTCAGTGGTGAGATTCCAGTCAGAAATCCATTTTCTAACCTACGAGATGGACAAAAGGAGAACATCTGGAAACAACTGGATGTATTCTCACAACGAACAAGAGAACATCTGGAAGACACACGTCCACTACCTGTCTGAGCTCCCGTCTAGAAGCATGCTTCCCAGGAGCAGGGCACACACCCCAGCCACTCACCTGGTCCAGCTCTGTGGGGATGTACTGGATGGCCCCACACGATGCGGCCACTTTGATCAGGCTGCAGTACACAGTGTACCTCACGGGAGTGTTCTTATCCATCCCGTGGAAAAGGTTGCTCAGCCTGGTTGACAAACAAACACATGAGGTCTGAGACCAGCAACCCCAGTGTCCAGCTGAGGTGATCTGCTCTCACAAGCCTACGACAGAAGGCGAGTTAGTTACTTCACATTACAAAGAGCATACTGGGGCAGAGAAAAGGTAAGTGACTTGCCCAAAGTCCAGCTAATAGTGCCACAGCTGAAAAGTCAAGTTCCAGAATTCCTGCTTAGAATCACTGAAGTTAGTGACGTGAAAACTGCCCTTGCAAGCCCAAGCCTCTCTCAGATCTGAACTTACAGCTGCAATCTCAGAGATGGACGTTCACCTTCGCGGAATTTGACCAACTTTTCGCAGAGGCTTTCAATCAACGCTTCCTGCTTGTCTGGTTCCAGGATCAAGAGGAGGGACACCACGCTGTTCATCACACTTTCAACATCTACACAGGTATCAACAGCACAATCACCACTGTTAGACACCATACAATATGTCTCACTAAATATGCATTTCCAGCGCTTTAATTCAGTAACTGCCATTGAACACAACACTTTATAAAGATGTCACCTGGCTGCTGTAAACAGTTCTAGCAGACACGCTTTTTCGTCAGTGGAAAGTAGCAAAAGTACGCTACACACGAACTCAAGTTAAGCTAGCTCTGCTGCACAGCAAACACTAAGAAAGCAGCCGGCATGTTCTGTTACAGATATAAACTGTAATCTAAGATTTGGTTCCTACCTAGCAAAACAGACTGATGTCATGTATAAGTTTGTAAACAGTATGTACTCCTTCCACTTTTACCATCAAGACAGCTACTCATCTGGAAGTTACTGGTGAGGTTTTAGGCTAGGATGCTTCTAAGGTGAGGAAAACTTTGCATGTAACATGTAGAAAACTATTTAGAAGTCAAACCTGTCAACTCTCTGGCTGGGTTGCTAATTTTCAAGTACTATAGATATTACTCGTATCTCAAGTTTAATCTCTAATTTTTTTGGTATACATGCTGCCAAAGAGAGCATCCAAGTTTAATCTTTAAATCTTAACTACAGATGATTTCTGGATGCACAATTTTCCCATTTTACCTCAATAAACAGGAAATCAGCCTAATAATTAAGTGGCTATTAGAAGACTTGAAATCATATCTCATTTACTATTAACCCCAACCCTATGAACAGGAAAGAGCTTCATTTTTTTCCTTTTGTGCATTCTGAGATTATCAACATTTAGTGTATGTGGCAACATTCAGAAAACAGAGTTGGTGTTAAAAGATGTCTTCTCACAACAGGCTTACTTTACAAGTATCATGAATTAGGTAAACTGAAAGCATGTGATGAGATTAAGATTAAGAACAGCACTGCACAGACTGTCCGTCAGCAATGTGTCACATAGTTCAACAGGCAGAAGGGGAAGGTTTCCAACATAAAGACCAATGCTTGAGGTGATGGGCCTCCCAGTTACAGCGACTTGAGCATCAGTGCAGGCATGTATCAGAATATCCCATGTACCCCCCAAACACATACAACCATTATGTATTTCTTTTTAAGTTCTGGTGTCTGAGATTCAAAACATACAGTCAGCTCTCTGCATCTGTGGGCTCTGAATCCACGGACTCAACCAACCTCAGATAGAAAACATTCCTTAGGAGAACAATAGAAAGCAATATAACAATTTGAGAAACACAGTATAACAGATTTTACACCGTATTCACTGTTGTCAGGTTTTTGAGGAATTTAGAGGCGATTTAAAGTATCCAAGAGGTCGAGGATGTGCATAGGTGATAAGCAAATCCGTGGGTTTTGGTATCTGCTGGGGTCCTGGAACTGATTCCCCCTCCACCCTGTCTCGGGGACCAGGGGACGACTGGAATTCATGAGAAAACTGTACAGTGGGTTCTCTTATTACAGTGGGTTCTCTTATTAGCAAGCAATGTTGGACAAAATTGGGACCTTTGTCGTCTTCCTTCAGACACATGTCGCAGGCTTCGATGATCTGTGCCAAGTCCACGTGGAGCCCCCCTTCCGAGTTCTCTTCGGAAATCTCGGCTCCCTTGGATTTCAGGTACGCACGGAGCTCGGCAGCCTGTGGAAGCCAACAGCATTGCCATCTGTCCACACAGCCCACCACGAGTGTCAAAACCTACCCCCCAAGCCCTTCTGTCCCATGTCTGAAAAGCTACAAACTCCATATAGAGCAACTCCTTGGATTATGCTGAAGGACTCCCCCACCACCCCACCCACAACCCTGTGGGACCCAGACTTTCCTCCACAAGGCCCAGGGCTCCCAGACACACAGGGACTGCTCCAGAATCTCTCCTGTCACCTGTCCTGCTGGACTTCCAGCATGCAGCAAACACCTTTCTAAGATACAAAGGTTTTTGGAGTCTTCTAAGTCAACCAGCTTGGTAAATGCAAGGTTAGGAAAGAAATGAAAACGTCACTGCTCTCAGTTGTACAGAGAAATGCAGGGACTGGAAAATCACAGACGTCATCTCGGCAAAAAGGTAACCATCTGTAACTGAGGGCCTATCTGAGACAAGCTCATTGGTTGATAAAAAGACAAAGCCTGTGAACGTGTAGCCTTGAATAAAACACTGACATCAAGTGGGACCCATTATATAACCACTCTTGCAAAATGCCTGAGTCAGAAAGCACCCCTGGACCTGTAAACACAACCACAGCAGTGCGCTCAGCTACGGGGCATTTCCACCGACGCCTCGGGGGCAGAGCCCGCCCGGCCTCGCACGAGCGCGGGATGGTGGCCGTCCGGTCCCGGCCCGTGGGCGCCACGCTGCTCTTCCCGGCGGCGCTCCCGCCCGCGGGGCCGCGTCTGGGGACGGGAGTAGACGGCGACCCCAGGCTGCGGGCGTCGCGAAGCCGACCGGGAAGCCGCCGCGGAGTCCCGGGCCCCGCCGGGGCCGCCGGGCCGGCCGGACCGAGGCCGGGAACGCGCGCCCGCGGCCTCCCGCCCCGCGTGTGGGCACCGGCGGGTCTCGGCCCGTCCGCCCGGCCCCGGCGCGCACCTGGTCCTCCTCACTGATGTCGATGAAGGCCGGGACGCTCATGGTGAAGCCCGGGCCCAGCGGAGCCGCTCCACTCGAAACCACGCCGAACGGAAAAGAGAGCAGGGTCGCGCGGAGGCGCCGCACAACCGCTTCCGGGTCACTCTGCGCGTCCGGCGGGGAGCTGTCCACAGGGTGGGCGGGGCCGCAAGAGGGCCAATCCTGTTGCGCGCTCTCGGCACGGCGGGGGGCGGGGTTTGCTGGGCCTTCTTCCGGGGACGTCTCTGGGGCCTCTGGCTTCCGGCACCTTGTCGCCGACTGTCCCTGCGTACCCTCCCTCCCGTCTTCGGTTTGCGCCTTGCTAAGCTCACCTAACCCCCGGAATTTCCTTTTTTTTTTTTGAGTCGGGGTCTTACTCTGTCGCCCGGGCCGGAGGGCAGCGGCACAGTCACAGCTCACTGCAGCCTCGAACCTCTGGGCTCAAGCGACCCTCTTGTCTCAGCCTCCGGGGCAGCTGGGACTAGAGGCGCACGCCACTACGCCCGGTTAATGTTTTGATTTTCCTTTTGTGGAGGCCGGGTCTGGCTATGTTGCCCAGGCTGGTCTGGAACTCCTGGCCTCCTGCAAGCTGGTTGGGTCGGGCCACGTGTTGGCGGCCAGCGCAGCGACCGGGACGCCCACCTGGGAGTGTCCAGGGGTCTAGGAGGGGCAGGAGCTTGGGAAGCGCGACCCCCGCGAGTCCCTGGCCCCGCTTGCTGCCGCTCCCCCGTCCGTGCAGACGCGTCCACGCGGCTCATTGCAGCTTTGAGAAACAACCGCTTGAGCGAGACGAGAGTCACCCTTCACAGGATGCGGCTCCGTAGTGCTCAGTGTTGTGCGATCGTCGCGCCGTCTCGTCTGCGAACATTCTAATCACCCTCAGAGAAGCCCCGTGCCCGTCGGCCCTCGCTCCCCGTCCCCCTCCCCCAAGGCCCTGGGCCGCCCGTCTGCCGCCCATCTTTGTGTGTCTGCAAATGTGCCTTTTCTGGGCATTTCCTGTAAACGGAGGCCTAAGATAAATGCCCGTGTGTGACCTCTCCTGTAGCACTAACTGTCCAGGGCTCATCCGTGTTGTAGGGTGGGTCCCTCCACCTCGCCCTCCTACTGCTCAGTCATATTCCATGGCCACGGATGCTCCCCATTCTATCCGTTCACCTGCTGGCCGAGGCCTGGGTTGTTTCTGGGTTGGGGCTGTGAGGAATCGTGTTTCTTTGAATGTTGGTGCTGGAGTTGTGTTCAGGTATGTGTCTCTTTCTCTTAGATGTGTGTCTGTGAGGGAAATCCATGGATCACATGGCAACTTCATATGTAGCTTTTTGAGGAGCTGTTATTTTCCACAAAGGTAGCACTCTTTTTTTTTTTTTTTTTTGAGTCGGAGTCTCACTCCATCACCCAGGCTGGAGTGCAGTGGAATGCATGCTCACAGCCACCCCAGCGTCAACCTGCTCTGGTGATCCTTCCACCTCTGCCTTCCAGGTAGGCGAACTACAGGTGTGCAGTACCACACCCAGCTAAGTTTTTATTTATTGTGGAGACGAGGTCTCGCCAAGGTGCCCAAGCTGGTCTCAAGCACAGGTTCAGGCAGTCCACTCGCCTCAGCCTCCCAAAGTGCTGGGATGACAGGCTTGAGCCACCATGCCCAGCCTAGCACTCTATTTTTAATACCACCAAACAAGAAACAACCCAAATGCTCATCAGCAGGTGAATGGAATGGGCAAACGAATAGCTAGGGACCCATGTAGTAAAATACTGCTTTGCAAGAAAAAGGATGAATGCTGGCCGCATGCAGCAGTCATTGTAAGGGGGATGACCCTTGGAGGACAAAGCAGCAAAGCTAAGAAGCTACATTTGCTCACTCTGCTTGCCAGAAACTCTCAGAATCCCTTGCTGGCAGACTCGTACAAAGCCCCTGCCTGGTGACTGAGCGCAGCCCTCTGGAAGAATGCCCTGGTGGTGATAAGCGGGACAGAGCACAGAGCCCGAGGTTTCTTGCCTGGATCACAGCATTTTTAGAGAAGATAAATCCAACCATCCTAGCCCTTACCTCTTCCTATGCGTGAGATAATGTCTGGCAGGATTAATGATTATGCCTCCTCGAGAGATTTTGCTGCAATGTAGCTTCTGAGCACATTGGACAGAACTTCCGAGCACGTGCAGATCCACCACCACCTGCGTCTGGCTGTGGGCTGAACTGCTGTTCTGGGGCAGAGACGGCCTGAAAGCCTCTCCCGGGATGCAGTCCCCAGGAAGACTTCTCAAGAAAATGAACTTTGCTTCTTGGAAAGTCTGATTTATTTTCTTTAGTGGACAACCCCCAAGTCATGTTGCTGCATTCAAGAATCCCGACCATAGGATTCCATTTCCATAAAACTCTAGAAAATACCAACACATCTACAGCGGCAGCGCTATTGATTGTTGTTGCCTGGGGGAGGGGTCAGGGCAAGGAGGGGCGGGGGGGTCACTAAGGGGCCTGAAGACACTGGGGGGCCATGGGTCTACGCATTGTTTTGAGGGTGGTGGTTGTGTCACAGGTATAAACATATGCAAAAAACTGCAAATTGTGCCCTTGAAAAGTGTGCAATTTATTGATACCATAATTATAGTTTAATATTTTAAAATCCAGACAATGCAGAAAAAAGGAAAAAAAACAAGCAAGTAGTTGTGGGGCAGAGGACAGAAAACATCTGGTGATACTTAAATGTGATAGGACTCACTCTGGCAGGGGAGAGCCCTAACACTCAGAAGCGACCAGAAAACCGGCCCTGTGTCATGGTCCCCAGCGCCCGCCCAGCACTCAGTAACTTGCTGTTGGTGCCGAAAGAGTCACCCCCCCGAGCGCCTCCACCGGAAGACCCCACCAGCCCAAAGCTCCAGGACCACAAACTAAAAAGATCCATGGACCATCTCATGGACTATTTAAAAGCCTTGTCCTGTTTACTGTTTTTCTTCATTCTGTGTCCTTGTGAAGTGAAAGAACATCCCTTCCAGGGAAATCCTCGAGAGGGAGGTGAGAAAAGACTAGGGACAAAATTATTTCACTCTTGACATTTGCATTCATCTAGAAAAATCCTATCTCAGTATGTGCCAGTCACTGTGCTGGGCCCTTGGGATGCCATGGAGAACAAAACTCAGCCTTCGTCTTGAACGAGGACAGGTTGCTCTGTGCCTCAGCCTGAAATCTGCTTTTCTAAACTTTTCTCCTAGATCTCAGAACTCAGGAAATTGGCTTCCATTCTTTTTTTCTTTTTTTTTTTGAGTTGGAGTCTCACTCAGTCGCCCAGACTGGAGTGCAGTGGCCACTCCCGGCCACCGCAGCCTCCACCTGCTGGGCTCCGGGGATCCTTCCGCCTCAGCCTTCCAAGTAGCCGGCATTACAGGCATGCGCTATCATGCCCAGCTGATTTTTTGATTTATTGTAGAGATGAGGTCTCGCTGCCCAGCCGGGTCTCGAACCCGCGGGCTCAGGCAGTCTACTCACCTCAGCCTCCCAAAGGCGCGGGATTACAGACTGAGCCGCCGAGCCCGGCTGGCTTCCATTCTTAATAAAACTCTAGGTAGAGGAAACACTCTACCAAGCCCAGGGACCAGGGGACAGGGAGACGGGACCAGCCCCAGAGGGAAAGGTGTGTGCTCTATTTTCTATGCTTTATATTCATTCTTTTTATTTTTTGAACTGGAGTTTTACTGTGTCAACTGGGCTGGGGTGCAGTGGCATGCTCATGGCCACCCTAGCATTGACCTGCTGGGCTCTGGCGATCCTTCCGCCTCAGCCTTCCAAGTAGCTGGAACCACAGGCATGTGCCACCACGTCCAGCTAATTTTTTTTGACTTATTGTAGATAGGTCTCGCCAAGTTGCCCAGGCTGGTCTCGAACCTGTGGGCTCAGAATCCCCTCACCTCGGCCTCTCAAAGTGCTGGGATTACAGGCTTGAGCCACTACGCCCGGCCCTTTATATTCATTTTTAACAATATCTCAGATCAAACTGATTTTCCAATGAGTCAAAAAATTAGAAGCTTTATTTTATTTAATAAAATGAATGTTGTCTTTTTCTCTTTTTCTTAAAATCTCCCTTAACTCAGACAAATGGTGCAAGAAATATTGCATAGAATATACTATACGAGGCACGAAACGTTCCAAATGTTTCTGATAAAGATATTTGGAACCAGCTGAACACCTGGAGCCCGCTGAAATGGGAGCTGGCCGATCCCGACTCTGTCCTGGACCTGAAATGAAATACAGCTCAGTGGTGAGCTAAAGGCAACAAGCTAGAGTTGTTATCCATAGCGGCATGATGGCAGCCTATGCTGTGTCATAGTCTTCTTTGAGTTTCTTAAAAACATACCTAGTGGCCAGGTGTGGTGACTCAAGCCTGTTATCCCAGCACTTTGGCAGGCAGAGGCGAGAGGATTGCCTGAACTCAAAGGTTCTAGACCAGCCTGGGCAACTTGGCGAGACCTCATATCTACAATAAACAAAAAAAAAAATTAGCTGGGCGTGGTAGTGTGCGTCTGTGGTTCCAGCTACTAGGAAGGCTGAGGCAGAAGGATTGCCTGAGCCCAGCAGGTTGAGGCTGCAGTGGCCGTGAGCACTCCAGCCTGGGCAACAGAGTGAGACTCTAACTCAAAAAAAAACAACATAACTAGGAACTTTCCAAAGAAGAATTCCCAGGAAGTGAACAAAGTCCCAGTCTTCTGCAGGACAAGGAGATAAGCATAAGCATTTGTTGGAATAGCAAATGATACACAAGTTAACTCACTAAATTCATTATTAACAAATCTTTAATACTTGCTTTGAACTTTAAATTTATTTATTTATTTATTTTTTAGTTGGGGGTCTCTGTCACCCAGCCTGGGGTGCAGTGGAACTATCACGGCTTACCACAGCCTCGACCTCCTGGGCTCAGGCGATCCTTCCACATCAGCCTCCTGAGTAGCTGGGACTACAGGCACATGCCACCAGGCTTAGCTAATTAAAAAAAATTTTTTTTTGTAGAGACAAGGTCTTGCTATGTTGCCCAGGCTGGTCTCAAATTTCTGGGCTTAAGCAGTCCTCCCACCTCAGCCTCCCAAAGTGCAGGGATTACAGACATGAACCATTGCACCTGGCCTAAAATTTTATAATGCATA